CGTGCAGGCCGTCCACAATCACTTGCAACCTGGACAGTCACCCTATATCAATGTCACCCACGCAGTACCCGAGCAATTCAGCCTTTCAAATCTGCCCCACTCTCCCCCCAGCACCCCTCGTTCTCCGACTGCTGCCGAGGATTACTTCAATGCCACGGTTTTCTCCAGTGCGGCAGTTGTGGGTGCTTACCATGACTACCGTGGACCCCTTCAACGGCAAATGTCCCACGCCCCGATGCCTATTGTTCCCCCTCGCAGCGTCAACATCTCGGTACTCGAGCGCTATCTTCCCCCAACCTCCGCTCAAGAGTATCGTGATCTGTTTTGTCGTACCCGTCCATCTTACCTCGTTGATCGCATGAGCGAGCTATCGCCTAATGGTGGCTCTCTTCTCTTCGTGTATCCGACGAAGAAAGGTGCATCAACCTTCAAGTCCCAGTACCTAGGCCCCATTCTCGACCCCCTTCTCCGCCAGCTCGTTGTGGTAAATGAGTTGTCCGCAGACGTGGGCCGCTACCTCGGCAAGCTCTCCTCCGTCTCTCAAATGGATGACTTTGCCACCATGAAGGCGAACATCGTGGCACTTTGCGAATCACTGAGCGACAACGATTCCTCTTCACGATTCCACGTAGCAGATGCAGGCCGCGGAGAGGCCCACCTCGACCGCAATCTCTGGGCTGAGTGGTTCATCCACCAAGAGAAGCCCCGTATGAAGGAAGTCCTCAGTCTGTACTGGCAAAACGGCCGCCGCTCATCTAAGAACGCAAGCTCCGGATGCTCCGGCATGATGAGCAACAAGGAAGTCACGTCTTCCGGACTCCTAAGTGAGATCTGCGATGGCATCCGCAAGCGACGCTATTACGAGGACAATGAGCCTCGTGATGGTATCGAGCTTGGTGTCTTTGTGATTCGTCGAACGAATTAGATCCTTGCAGCATTGCTAGATCGCTCTTTGCTCCCTCTTCCTCGAATCATCACCCCCCCCTTTTCATTCTTCCACCACCCCCTCTTCCGCAATAGCATATTTTAACAAACGGCCTTGACAAAAGATGACATGGGACCCATGGAGGTGTCCCCGGTGTTGGATTTCGATTTTTCGGTGCGAAAATAATTCTTTCGCACCTTTGCATGACTCGTCTGGGAATTTTTTTCCCCGCGCGAACATTTTTTTGGATGAACTATGAATACCCCGGTTGTTGGCGATTCGGGTTTTATGATTTTTTTTTCTCTGTCTTGATGACAGATAGATATACACGATTTAGTGGGAATATATCTGCTATTAACAATATCTTTTCTTTTTTCCTAATTCTAGGATATCACTGGTCTAAGTATATGTAGGGGTCGTGCTGGTGGTTCCGTTAGGCTCGCGTTAGGCATCACCGAAATGTGCCTGGACAAAGGGTCAGCCCTCACCTTATCACTTTAGTCCTATGGCTTGCATTTTAGGAGATTTGTTATCTATGTAAGTTATAGCGTGACAATTAATTGATTCAGCACTTTTAGGCACATTGTATATAGAAGTTCTTTTGTAGGGACGTTTTACCCCATTCTACTGTTTGCGGCTAGTTATTCTGAATGGGCATGAATAGACATGAATAGGCACCTACAAAGACAATGGAGATATTGAAAGATAGTTACCTAAAAAGACATTGTAGAAGAATTTCGAATATAAAGTCCTTACGCCATTCTATACTAAATAAATCAAATTCCTGAGCTACGTCACTAGTATTAGTTGTCTGTATCTAGATCTAGCTGGGAGCGAGTGATATGATATCTTAATTTAAAACAATCATTTGGCCTTTCTCTATTGTATCAACAGGTTGAATACCTATAGTCTATACGGCTATGATCACAATTGTACAAGTGACGGCCATTCGTGCCAAACCTTGGTATATATAGCTTACAATAGCTGTTGTCTCAATTACAAGGAACACCAATAGAAGACGGGAAAACTTATGTATACCAACTCACCGTGTTTTTCTTTTTACTTCTTCTACACTGTTTCTCTCAAACTAGAATCAGAAAGTCCATTTCCTTTCACCTGTCTTCTTCACCTCATTGCCTATTCTCCTCGGGGCGGCCAAACATTCTGCCGTCCATATTCGACCGTGACCCACCCCTCTCATCGCATCTTCCTTCTATCACTAACTGAATGCAATCTATGCAATCTACCACCCTTTCTCGCCCACCCTCGCCACATACAATGTCCTACCAAAACCCTCCGCCTCTCAGCCCCGGTGGCGGGGCTGGTGGTGTACCCTCAAAACGCGACAAGCGGCGCACCGCGCTCCAGGAGCGGCTCCAGGAACTAACGGGTCAGTTCAGCAATAACCGGGACACCCAGTTTCGTCAGCAGTTGCATGCACTCCAGTGTGATATGACCCTGATCAACAATGCTGATCCTTACGTGACTGGACCGCTCCCGGACTCTGCGGAGAGCATTTCTGCTCTGATTGAGGATACTGTTGGTGGCGGCAGCAAGTTTGCGAAAGAAATGGCTGGCATCGCTGGATCCTGGTATTCCAGGTTTGTCCAGCAGGTCAATGAGATCAAGGAGAAGAGAGATGCAGAGTTGGTCATGGCTATGGTGAGTTTCATACTTTTCTCATCTACAAGGAGTTTTCCCTAACCAGTGACTTTTTTTTTCCTATACAGAATAACTACAACAACGTTATGGAAAGACAACAGCGGGACCGTGATTTCCGTACTTACTTCGCACAAGAAGAATTCCGTCATCTATCTTCCACCCTTCGAGAGCGATTGGTGCAAAATATCTCCGGCAAGCGCGCCCGTCTGATGCGTGAAAAGGAGCAGCTCGACATCGCCGATACCAATGCCCTTCTCCTCCACCCAAACCAGTTCAGCATCACAAACCCCGCCAGCCCTGGTGGCATCCACAGCAACCGCAAGACCACCCGGCACACCCGTCACCGCGTTGACCTTGACGAGCTGGGCAATGGTTTCATGTCGGAGCTGAACAAGCGCAAGCGGAAGGCTCCAGAGGAGGAGGCTGGGTCGCCTGCGCGGGACGCGGGGGATGCCACGCCTGCGAAGCGCAACAAGGCCGAGGTCACAAAGGAGCAGGTGGCCCCTACCTACTCAATCCACTCCCTTTTCACCGACAAGGAACTCAATGCACACGCAAACCAGGCACACATAGCAGCTGTCCACTTCTTCTCTACCTCCAGACGCCCAGACCACGGCTCCGGTGCGGTGACAAACGGCAACAATACCGATGCCGAGGATACCCCGGAGGGCACAGGCCACGAAGATAACGGTACCCCGAGTGCAGCAGACATGATGCGCACCGCTAGCCACAACTTCCACGCCACCAGATCCACCCGCACCACCGCCGCGCACAGCGCTCTGAGCGCCCTAGCCGACCTGGCCGATAAGCCCGCCACCCGTCCGATCCTCCCCTACCACGTTCTCTCCAACCACCACGCCCGACCCAACGGCAACGCACCCCCATTGACCTCTCTAATTAACGAGGAAGTTGACGATGACTGCGCGCGTATTAGCCGCCTCTCCAGCAAACCATCCAACTGGATCGACGCATCCCTAGTCGAACTCGTCGCTGCACCTCTTCCTACTTCCGCAGAGCCGGTCGATGGCCACCCCGCCGACCCCGCGATCTTCAGCCAGCTGCACCCGGATTTCTCGCCTTCTATGGGTATCGACTGGACTCCTACCGTCCACCAGCCCGGATTTGAAATGTTCCAGCCTGCTGCTATGGAGCGCGAGCGCAGTCGAAAGCGGACGCGTAATCACTAAGGATTTGCACATGAAGTTTCGGATGTACGTTAAGATGGGTTGGGATGGTGTTTATCGCTGGATGCGGTTACGGATTACCCTTTATCATTGATCATATTAGCTATGTTGTGAGGGATGGACCTCGGAGGTGTTTGGGATTTCGATTTCTATATTTTTTTTTTTTCTTTCTGTGTTTATTTTCTTTCTTCGAAGACTAATGCTCGCTCCAACCTGTCTGGCGTTGTTGGGAACACACACACATAAGTACTCTGCTTTGATAGTTCATGCTTACCCTCATGTCGGGTACAATTTACATGGATGCCTTGTTTTTCAGTCTTTATAACTTGGGTTATCAATCTATTCGTAGCCTCCAGACTAGACTCGGGGGGATCTCCCGATCTGGTTAGGACGATATATGGTCAACATCATAGTCCCAATATCATTCAAGAGAAGAATATCTGCAGCTTTCATTTCATCCGTTCCATCTCAATCTGCTTTGATGCAGTTTCCAACTATTTGCTATTTGTTCATCAGTTCCTTGAAGTCGTGCTCATCGGGGTCATAGACCAGGTTAGATATTGGCCCAGTGTGTTGTGTCGTTTCCTTCGACTTCTTGGCTTGAGGCTGTGAGACTATGCAGACATTCGCTTTCCTATCGTTGTGGTCTAGATTTTTGATTGTAAATGGTATGGTGATGGGTAGGTAAGAGAAAAGGAAGAATGAGAAGAGAGGGTAATTTATAGGTAAAAAAAAGAAGGTGAGAGTAAGAGCACAAGTCAGTAGGATGTGATATGGAAAAGATACGACAGGAACGGTTTCTCTTCAGATGATGGTGTAGCAAGTAGTGTCGTAATCTCTGAATATATTCTTATACGCCTCCAGTGTAATGGGTTATATTACTTAGATGTTCTGATTCCGAAACCCCGGGCTGTTGGGAGACCTGGAGGTGGAGTTAGGCAGTGCCTCAGGGGTTAGACGTCGATTGGGACAAGGAGGATAGTATTGAAGTTAGTACCTTGGGTTTGGGGTTTGTTTGGTTGTGCTACATGTTATGACTCACTTCTGGTCTTTTGGGTGATATTCTCCAGTTTGTAAATTTTGATGTACAACTTAGGGCTAGCATCCATATCATCATCATGACAAAAACGGAATCCACCACCGATTATTCTATCGAGTAGATTTTGAATACTGCCTTTAAACCCATAGCAAACATAATATCACAAACATCAACCCACCCCTCCATCCTCATGCTCCGGCGCGCCCTCGCCATCCACCCTCTCTTCAAACAACCACTAATGACCTCACCACCACGACCAAAAGCCGAATCCCCCAAACCACTCTTCAGCGGCAACATAAGACCAAGTCTCCAAACCTTCACCGAAGAAGCCGCAATTCCATCCGCCCACAGTCGCATCCTCCCCGCCATAAAACACGATCACCTCGAACTGGAAGCCCACAGTAACAAAATCCTCTCCTCAACAGACCCAGACGAACAAACCCGCTTTCAAAACCAATTTACCTGGGAATTATCCCGCCATCTAATCGGCGAGGGACTTGTCGTCTATCCAGCCCTGATTGACTCTCTCCCAGACGGCCAGGGAATAGCAGATAAAAACAGACTCGAGCACCATGGTGTTAAGCACCAGTTGAAATCGTTTCAGGGTCTTTCATCTACGGATCCGAGGTTCTTGCCGACGCTTGAGGGACTCATGCGGGATTTGGGGATTCATGCGAGACAATGAGGAGGATGTGGACTTGCCTAGACTTGAGGAGTTGTTGTCTAAAGAGGAGAGTGTTAAGTTAACTAAATCCCTAGATCGAGTTAAGATCTTTGTTCCGTCCAGATCGCACCCGCTTGCGCCTACGGAGCCATTCTTTGAGACTGCTGTTGGGCTTTTGACGGCACCGATTGATCTATTAGCCGATTTGTTTCGGAAGTGGCCTGATGGGAAGGAGAAGAAGTGGTAGGGCTTGTAGGGGATAGTCGTGCTAGGGGATTTTGATACAGGTACTGGATCATGGTTATATGATATGAAGTTGATATGCCAGTCCATTCTATTCCATTCAGCCACTAATTAGAAATACTCTAAGCTGAATGAACAATCCAAATTAATCTCTACTATCTTTTTCAACCCTAACACTTCCAATGTTAGAAGCCACCTCGTCATATCATCCCTGCACAGCTAAAACCGCCGATCCCGTCGCGCCCAACCGCTGCCCTGAATAGCCATAGCGCTGCAAGCGACGCAACTTCCCCAATCGATTCGCAGTCTCGATCGCAGACTGCTGCGTCTCATCATCACCTGATGAGGATCGTCTCCGCTTCCACGCCTTACGGAACTGGTGCTGTTCGTCGTCCTGCTGTCTGTGCCGCATAGATAAGAAACCAGCATGTGCTTCCTTCTCTTCACTTAGGGCCTGGACCTGCACCGCCAAAAAGTTAGTTCATGACGTTATTGTTTCTGCTAGAAGTCAAATCGGGAAATGTGATAACGATCTCGACTGCATGGAACAATGCAATAATAAAGCAAACAAAATAGTAGTCGAAAAAACAACCCCCCAAAAAACAACAAAGATAGTTTTCACATACATAGGATAACCACACCTCCTGCTCGGAACTCCACGCCTTCTGACACCTCCCCAGCTGTCTCTGCGCATGCACAAGCTCCCGCTCCTGCTCGATAGTCCACCGATCTCGACTGCGGATAATACTCGCCCAACTAACACCGCGAGCGAGCTGGGGCCGCACCGGATGCGTCTGGCTGGAATAGTGCACCCGCTTCTCGGATGTCGAATCCGATGCTGGATCCGGGATATTTTCCGGTGCGGATGATGATTGGGGGGTGGGTATTTCGTGGTTTGCGTGCGCCTTCACCGCTACCTGCACGGGTCCGTGGACGTCACGGTGCATGAAGATGGGTTCATTGTTTTGGGAGTGGGGACTGATGCTGGGGGAGTTTGATAGAATGGTATCCTTTTCACTGAGGATTTCCAGTTCGGGGGATTTGCCTTTTAGACTTGTTCGTCGTTTCCAGGGGAGGGATAGTGGTGGTAGGGCTCGATGGACGATTGTGAATACCGACATGGTTGGGATCGATACAGATAAACTATATGTATAGAAAAGAAATAGAAGATATTATCGAAGTATAGACTTTATACTTGTGATCTTTGTCTCTGGGACTGATCTTCTCATGTCGTTACCAACCTTGCTTTTATAAATGTCCCAGTTCGCCTCCCAAGTGGTACTTCACGATCTGGCCAGACCGATACCCAAGGACGAAAACGCGTGCAGGGACACCTCGCAGGCACCTCGCACGGAGGTGGGGAATGCGAGGCTCTCGGGCTTCTGCTTGGCTGCCCACGCGAGAAGTATACGATCGTGCAGGAGGCGCGGGTTGGTCTGGTTGGTCTAGATGGCGGAGGACTGCAAGTTTGGTCGGGACTTCAATGGGGGTTGTGTTTGCTTCGGGTACGGTTTGACGGTTTGAAGGCTTGGTTGTGCAGTTGTTTCATTAGGATGAGACAAAGGCGGATTTGCAGTTGATGTTGACTTTAACTTCACTGGTATGATGGGCTGGACTGAGTTGCATTCTCGATTCAACTCACGCGATTAATATGTCCATCCCTATTCTGTCGGATACTCGGGGAAATAAGGAATCTTGATGCAGGAGGGCTCTGTGGTTGGCTGGATACATATGTTCGAGATGCGATATATACAGGGTGTTCGCAGTTGTAGTCAAGGATCCCCTTCCGGGATTTGGTACTTTGGTCACTCTGATCCAAAACTTGAAAATTATTGTATACAGTACCTCATTAATGTCCAACTGATGAGGCTAAAGACTAGAGGCCTAAACTAATCACAGGCACAATAAACCTCCCAAAACAGCCCAATGCTGCACACAAGCCTAACCAATAACCGTGAGGGAATCATAATCAGAACAAGAATAGACGCATTCAAAACAAAACCATGACGCCAGGTGCTCATCGGATATCAAAAAGTACATAATATAAAAAGAAGTGGGTGGAAAACAAATCAAGACGTTCATCGCCATGTATCCACAGAAGTACCCCGGTTGGCCTTGGCCTTTCTTTCCTCTCGGATCTGCTCGCCAATAATGATGCTAATGAGTCTCCGATGCAGATCAGCTTCTGTCCAATCGATCTGTCCGCTGCCACCATATTGGATATCGGCCCGAGCAAGTTCCTGGGCGAAGCGATCGATAATGGCAAATTGGATCTCTGTGATGGGCACCCCGTGATGACCATCGGAGGTCCATATCCAATCACCGATGATGGCAGCCCGCCCTGGAGCATCGTAGTATTCAAAGTGTTCGGGGTATCGCTTGGCAACTCGGTAGATACGACGAAGCGCGGCGTAATGCTCGTCGGAAAAGTATCCGAAGACAGCAAGTGGTCGTGGCCCTGGAGACGCCCCATTTTGGGGGTTCACTGGCTCTGCAGCTTCGTTCTCCAAGAGATCTTGCGAGACACTCCGCTCAGAAACCGGCACCTCCTCTTCTTCCAAGGGGTCTCGGGAAACGCTCCTCTCGTGTATCGGGTCCTCCTCTTCTTCCAGTGTAGGAAGAGGATCTTGTTGTATCTGGGGAGACTGAGATGGTGATGGCTGTCTCCAATGACTCGCGGGTGATTGGCTCGCTTGATTGGAGAGCGGCCCATCCTGGAAATGTCCGTCAAGCTCCTTCGCAGATTCAATGCTGGCCATTTCCTCTTCATCTTCGAGGTCAGATGCTTCCTCCGGAATAGTACTAACACTTGAGCTTCGGTCACGTGTAGGGGCTTTCAGCCATTGCGGGGTGAAACTGGTTATTTTACTGAACCAGGATGATCCTGGTTCCTCCTTATTGAGCTGGCGAGGCTGTGGGGTGGAGGCAGAATCCACGTTGGCAGATTTCGATTGATTGAGAGAGGCATTGGAAACGCTGCTGCCATGATGGTCTTCTTCCAATGGTTCTTGCATAGGTGGGCTTCTTTGCACAACCTTCGGGGACTTCTTCTCATTGGGGACCCGTGGGTTGGGAACATCGGGGCTTGACTGGGAGAGAGGTTGTAAACGAATACGCGCTGGAGTGCGCGATACTGGGTCCTTCATGGGAGAGTTGTTAATGAATGGATTATGTCTCCCCAATGGGCGGGTCAGCACACTCCGAGGAGTACTCGTTCCATTGTAATACCGTGCGCGGTTTGGTGTATCCTCTTCTGCAAGCAAAGCAGACAAATCAACTTTTTCTTCGCGGAGCTCGCGAACTTTGGACGGCCCAAAGCGCGCTACATAATCATGCTCCGAAGTAGCGTAAGGAGATGAGCTCAGGTAGTCTTGACCTGCGGAAATTGGAGCAAGGTTGCCCAAAGGGCGTGCAACCGGCTGCGGATGAGACTGGACATCATCATGCTCCGAGTTTTGTGAAACATGGCTGTGGTCGTTGGCCTCAAGTTGCCAAATGTCGTCATAACCATCGTCCTCATCTTCCACGGGCTCGGGTTCGGGCTCGGGTTCAATTTCTTGGGCTACATATGGCGCTGGTTCTGGTATGGGCCCAGGCGCAGGATCATTGTGCTCTTCATCGAACCCATATCCGGTCTCAGATCCAAATCGTTGTTCATGCTCAAATTTGATGTCACTATCATCCTCGGCAACATTCTCGTCGCTATCAATATACACCACCGATCGTGAGTTTGAAGCCATCTGAGCTTGGCGGCTGACTTCTTCTCGTTCAAGCTGCCATTGTGCCTCCCGCTGTACCTTTTGGTGGGACATGGGGCTTTGCTGCATGGATTTATTGAACTTGAAAGTTGATGATTGGGCGTATTCTGCGCGCTTCTCGATCTCATCTTCAAAGGGTCGATCGTGCTCCTGCCCTTCTAATTCTTCATCATTGAAGTCGTTATAGTGACGCGCGTCCTGTTCTTCCTGTTCCTCCTCGAGACGTTCCTCTTCAAGGCGAGATGCTGTATTTTCTGCTGCTATAGCCGCAGCCTCATCTTCCTCGGCGAGCATTCGACGCATAGCAAGCTCCTGTCCTAAACCCATAGCCACTCGGAGTTCTCGCTGCGTTTCAGCGTTGAAAGTGCCGAAAACGCCCTCCAACCGGCGTTTTTTGTGACGAGCATTACTTTTTCCTGACCACTCGTCTGCTTGGGGCCTGAAGGGACCTTGGAGAGCCAGGCTTAGACGAACAAGTTTGGCCAAACTAGTCAATGTTCTCTTCTTTGGAACAATTGTTGGTTTAGCCGGAGATGATGCGGCAGGGAGTTCAGGGTAGGGGATCTCGTTCACATGGTTAACGGATTGCCGCTCAGCTGCATGTACAGTGTACTTCTCCGGAATATGGGTGCTGGGATTGTCGTCCAACCTAGGAGCCAAGGCCGAAGTGATTGGACTAGATGACTTTTGAGCACGAGAATCACCTCGGAGGTCTTCGATCGTCCCGGGAAGTTTGCGTCTCAGCCGTTCTCCAACTTCCTTTGGTTTAGTACCACCGTTCGTCACAGCGCTGGAGCCGAATCCATGCTGCTTAGCTGATGGGAGTGTATCGAGGGAAATCATAGTGAATCCTTCACTTTCCATGATAGTGTCGAATTCGTCGTACTCGTCTGCGGGATCTTCAACGGGATCAGGTTCAGCATGATGGGTCACTGTCCTTGAGGGATGATCCTCGTTGACTTGTTGGGTTTGGTTTTCTTCATCGACCAGCGAAGACGTGGGTGTCGGAGTCGGATATGTGCGCGATTGCGGGCTAGCGGTATTGTGAGAAGAAGCTCTCGATGACAAAATTGCTCTCTCGCGTGTGGGTGATGGCATTTTAGAAGGGGTAGAGTGGATATTTTCATCATCCAAAAAGTGATGTTCCGTAGCTCCGATGACAGGCGTCTCCAAACTCGTTCGGCCGTACTCACGGCGAGGATTGGCCAGATCTTCCGTGATGGGTTCTGTTGGGTCTGGAAGCTCTGCAATTGACATATCTGAGTTCCCCCAAGAGTCATCTTCGGAGTCCGCATCCCCTACAAGATTCAAGGGGCTGGCGTGCGCATTACTCCCAGCGAAAGAATCCGTCGGACTGAATTGTTGTTGTTCTAGTCCAGGATCACTGGCGAGGGCATCAGTGGGGCTAGATCGTTGGTGGCCTAAACTAGCCTCACTAGCTATAGTATCCATTGGGCTGTGTTCGTGTTGGCCTAGACCAGCTTCATTGGTCATGGTGTCCATTGGGCTGAATTGCTGGGCTTGACGGGAATCACTATTGGGAATAATATCCATCGGACTAAAGGGTTGGTCATATTCGACAGTCGGCGTTGGTTGATCATCCGACAGCTGGAAATCCTGTGGTTTGGGTTTGGGCGTGCCCCGTGGTCGGCCTCTTTTGCGTGGTTGCAGCCCAGGAGTATGCCCCGGTCCAGGGGTATTTCCCGGCCCTGGTGTATTTCCAGGGCGAGGGGTCTGCCCAGCGGCCCCGAGAAATGGGGACACATTCATGTCAGACTTTCGTGGACGTCCTCGTCGCTTTAAGGGCGTCTTCTCCTTCAATGGACTCCTTTCATCCTTCAATGGTATCATCGTCGTGGTGGTCGAGGGTTTTAATCGTTTGCGCGACGGGCTACCCCGGTTCTCGTCATCTTCGTCTTGCGTGGCTTCGAGCGTGAGTCGGATGCGCCACGGGCTGACATTTCCCTCCTGGAGCTTCTCCGGAGAGAGCGACCTTTGTCGACCACCATTAAACTTTATTGTTGGCGACCCAGGGAGTAGGACATCGTTGAATTGAATTGAATGCGCGCTTTTTGCGGGACTGAGGCTGACACGCGGTCGCGGTCGCGGTCGCTTGGCCGGAGTTCGTGATTTCGCTATCATGGGAGACATCCAGCTTTGGCGCCCTGTAAAAGGTTTGATCGGCGATGAGATCAAGTATTGGGCATCGCCTGGAGGACCCAGAATATCGGGGGAGGAGCTCTGGCTGCGCGACGAGGCCGACATGGCGGACTCATGTGATTGAATCTCGGGAGGCACGCGTGCCACCAAAGGGGTGGAAGAGCGCACGCTAGGGAATGCGACGACAACGAAAAAGTGCGGTCAGTGTCGTAACTATTCACAAGTCGATTTTATGATACAAAAATTAGAGGCAAAACGCGGGGCAACCATAAACAAGTCTCCCGATGCGTACGAAAGAGCGGTCCTCGAGGTGGTTAGGTAAGCAGACCCCAAACAAACAATCTATTAGTAGAACACGATCTTCTTTCTTCCCCCTTTGTATCTTGAAAAATATGTGGAGATGTGAGAGGAATATTTCTTTGGCTTGCCATCGGCTCAATTCTACAAATCTTCATCGACATCATCCACACTGGGTACTTGCTTCAATGTCACACCGCAAGCTTCAACGACCAGACGCACACACTCCATGACCATTTGCACATCTTTCTTGGAGATCCCCAACCGCCTTGTTCCTCGGATATGCCAGTAGATCATCCGGGGCATGTCCTGACCCATGACCGCCGGTAAGACCACCATCTCCGTATCCACATCATCCAAAACCTGGCGGTCGGACAAGAGTAACCCATAGGTGATATCAGCAAGCCAAAAGCCGAAGTCTGGATGCTTTTTGAATAGCCCAAATAGCGTACTGGTATTACGTGCATATATTGATTTTAACCAATCCATGCCGCGCGCATGATTTGCGTCGTCGCACTGCCAACCTTCTCGGGTGAAAACATTCTCCATCTTCCTCGGACATGACTTTGGTGATACTGAGGAGTGCCTCTGTCGGTTTAGGGAGTCCGAGAAGAGCAATGTCCTTGAATAGCGCCTCGCGCATGCGTCGAATTAGCTTCCAGCGCTCACTGGTGGTCGAATACAATTGTTGGCTTATCAGGTACAGGTATAGCTGGCCACCAACGTGTGATTCTGGCGTCGTCGAAATTGCGCTTAAAGTTGCGAGATACCACTTTTCATTGGCAATATTGGAGGCTTCGAATTTGGCTTCAATTGTGGCAAATAGCTCAGACCAACGCGGCTCAATAGTTGGTTTGTCGACATCGGATATGCTCATAGTTCAAGCCCAACTGTGTTTACCACGTATTTTCGAAAATGAACAGGTGTTTGAGACCTGAATTCATGAAATGGATTTAAGCAATCGGGCGATGACGCAGGGCTGAAACCGCACGGTGGCAATCTACGGATATTAGGTCCTTAAATGCTCTGCAATCCGTGGTTCGCACAACTAACTCCAGGTTTATGTTGTCTTAGATTCCATATATACAAGAAGCTGCCTTGGCGAGTCCTCTGACTCTTGTCTTGGAAAGTTGGCTCACCACCAGCCCAAAGCTGCCCTCCGCATTTGTCTCGATGGAGTGGGCGTGGTTGGCTATACATAGAAACGTCCTCTGTGTGGTTTATTCTTTTTGCCACCTTCATAGGCATTTTTTCGGCTGAATGCGGAGTAATGATTTGATACTCCAGCACCCATCTTGGGTGCCCTGAGCCTAGAACAACTCTTGCAAGACTTCACGATTTATGATCTTCGTGTTTTCACTTTGCTCCCATTTATTTACCTTTTGCCTTTTCATAGCTGTGATGAGCACTGGGTTTCGCAAAGAGACACATATTGCAGACTGTGGAACCCTTATTCGTTGTGGTATACACCTCCCAACATCCTGAATTTCACCCTCTAGATCTCTTCGATATTAGCCGCATGATTATCGTCCTTCGACGTATTATCAGATCCTGATGCCTTGGGTACCCTATCTCTGTAAGACTTGTAGTAATCATTGATTCATTCTGTCGCCCTCTTCTCTCGCTGAATTGCATCGATAGCGGACTTCAAATCGCAGTCCGGTACCACTTCGACATTTGGAAGTCTTTTAGGATTGTTATCCCCGACTAAATCGTTATAAACAGGTTTAGTTCCGTCCACATTAGTTCGAAGTGCCAGGCTGATTATCAAGTGACTTTCAGTGGTACGGATCGTGTCAACCCGCTTTCGAGCAAGGAAAGTGTCACTGAATAGAGGCTGACTGGTTCAGAATGCTTACTCTTGTTCATTGCTCCAATCGCCTTGTTTCTTCTTATGAGCGTTTATAAAACTGTAACTCGTACTAAACTATTTAACATACTTTGAAACTCTTTAAAGAGATTGGGCATATTGTAGACATAGTAGACGACTCGAAATAATCTCATCGGTCTTATTATATATACTGTTATCATCCAACAACTTCGCTCTATCGTCTACCGAGGTAGGGACGTAGCCCCTTCCATTCTTCGCCTTATACGCTGCAAAATTAGACTTAGCGGGGGATTCATTCGCTAATAGGCACCAGATAGACCAAAGGCAGATATACGGGGCGCAAAAAAGGCTAAAAGATAGAACAAGGTAATTCTCATCTTAGCGGCGAAGAAATGCTGACGAAAATCGTGTTTGGGGGAAAAGGTGATTAGATTGACATTCCAATATAAGACGCACTTGAGAATAAATCATATTCTTATTATTCTCGTCTCCTAAGTTCGCCTTAAAAAAGCCAATTGCATGTAATACCAACTTCGATCTAATCATTTCCTTAGACCCTCTGCACCATGAGTTTTCAGTCTACCTGTGAGCCTACTTTTTGCGAGCGGCCTTGTCGGAGATTAGCATGTTGGCAAATGTTGTTTCACCTGACCGGTATATCTCGGCTTTCCTTTCTATCCAGGCATCATACTTTGCCAGCACTTCTAGCCAATAACTGACCAGACTCATACTAAAACAATATTTCCAGAGTGCTTAGTCGAACCCTTATATTATTTTTACGGTAAGGCCATGCAAATAGGGATGCGCGATTTGTGCTTCCCTAAGCAATATCAAAATTCGGAGCTAAGATTTTAGCGGCGCTCTATTTGATATAAGGTTTTGTAAAAAAAAATGTACGTTTTTGCCTTCTACGGCAAGGCCATGCAAAAAGATACAGCACGACGGCTGCATGATTCGAACATGCGCCCGCGAACGGAATTGATTTCTAGCTGTGGAGATTGTTAGTGGATGTTTGGTGGACTAATATCTTGAAGATAAACATACTCAATCGCCTTAGACCACTCGGCCAAACCGCCGTTATTTAATTAGAGGAAAAGGTTTGCATTAATGAGCCAATGCATCTTACTACCGGAATTCATTTCTACAACATACAGTCAAACCCCGTTAAAATGTACTTGTACTCCACTTCTTTGTAAACCACGATCGTTTTGAAGAATTTACGCTCCTGGGTTATTTGGCCATAGTAAAGAGCGCCAAGGCTACCTAATTAAGTATAGTGCACCCTGATTTTACGAGCAAATTCCAAAGCTGCTTTTTGGGCCTCCCACGACGTGTTTATTAACTCCATTGGCTTAGTTAGCTCTGTAGATATTACACAACTTAAAAGTTCCTCACTTCTTTATTCGCAGTGATTTACTCTCGGACAATCCTTGTATTTTAACGAGGTTTCACTGCATCTAGCTATAGACTGACTTATGATAAAGCAACACTCCCAGAGAGTACTTGGTCAAAAAAAACTATATATCTTTTTTACGGCAAAGCCATGAAAGCCATGCAAAAAAGATAAAGCACGACGGCTGCATGATTCGAACATGCGCCCGCGAACGGAATTGATTTCTAGCTGTGGAGATTGTTAGTGGATGTTTTGGTGGACTAATGTATTGAAGAGAAACGTACTCAATCGCCTTAGACCACTCGGCCAAACCGCCGTTTAATAATCTCTTGCACCTTATCTTCATATTTAGCTATTGCGAAATTTTGCCACTTTATCTTTTAGCTATATTGATTCTGCTTTTATGGTAAAAAGACCAATATTTTTAATTTTTAATTGAAATAAAAAAAAAAACCTCATACATTCTACCTAACTTAGTGTTTAGGTATAATAATACTGACTAATTTTTATAAGCCCCTTAGGTACATAGTATAGACACACTGGGCACTATCTTATTATACTATATAACCAGGGAGTTTGATAATTATTACATAGGTAGTGGCGTTTAGCAATGTATACTATTTCTCAATCATTTACTAATTTCTGCCTGGCAGAAGCATAACTAGGGAGGTAGGATATAGGGTTATCTACCCTCCCTACTTACTTATCTGCAAAGGCTCTGTTTCCCGCTAATCCTAGTATGAGTATAGGAATCATATAGGAATATGATATGAGGCCTCAGAGCAGGGTATGCTAATTAATTACAGATGTATCTGCTATGCTTAATCGGGGGTAATATAGAAGGGCAAACAATTATATGAAAATACCAGTGAGTAAATACTACTTACTGAAGTAGAATATCATGGATCTCAAAAGTCTTTCCGTCTACATACACAAACAAGGGGTTAATAAATGAATTAATAACTGCAGCGAACCTACATGCTTGTAACAATACCGGATATAAAGATCGGGATCCGGTACTTGGGTCGATCTGCCATATAAAAATCGTTAAAATCTCCTTTCTACGATAGTCGTTGATCCATGATCTATCTTACAAATAAAAATCGTTAATCCAGAGCTTCATACCCCGGTTTTAACCAATTGAAACGCCTCGCCGATCCATCTCAGCCTCTCAAAAGAAGAATTTATACTATTAGTGACATTATACCATGTTGGTTCCTTTGGAAGGGTTGATGAGGGTGAAATAGTGGTTGAAGAGCCCTAGTTTCAATACTATCGGGCTATTCGGGCTTTGGAGCCCCTTCATTTGTACGGAGAGTAGCAGGGATAGGGTGATACCAGGTTGATTACTACTCTGCGTGTGTATACATGATAGCTTAATTGAAGTAGGGGAGGTATGAGGGGAGAAGCAGTGCGATATTAGGAGCTTTGGGGGGCCTTGGTCTGTATGTCAACCAGGAAGATATATGTAATGTATGGCACTTAATTTAGCGATTGCCTAGAATATAACGATATTTTTATTGTGTCTGAGTTACATTATTATCAGTAGGATTTACTGGAACGTAGCCAAACGTCTCTATTAATGATAATAGCAGGCTGGTAACCTTGTATCTATAACGTATTCCACAACCGAGTGGCTATCTCCAAAATAGTAAATGCAAGATGTATTTTACAAACTCGTGTTTTCAATAACCGCGTTATTGTTGATGCAATTCTCACTAGGTGGCTATTGGTGAGGAATTTTAACCTTATATATATTAATTTTAAGAAAATATAATATTTGCATTACCATAGTACTGAAAACTATGTTATAGAAACCTATAGATATATATATCATAATCATCAAGGCATAGATATTTATATTTTCCAAACTAGGGAAGCTAGATCTCATACAGAATGTATTAAACTACTATTGTTGATATACCAAGTTGTAATTTATTGCATTTACTATTTTGGAGATGGCCACGCCTTGTAAGATACGTTATAAAACTAGAAGGCGGTAACTAGTTACGTGAGGGAGAATAGTAAGAAGTTAATTTCAACCACCACCTAATTAGGGATGTTTTTGAACATATAAGAAATTAGGGCAAGATTAATAAAAACGGCGGTTTGGCCGAGTGGTCTAAGGCGATTGAGTACGTTTCTCTTCAATATATTTGTCCACCAAACATCCACTAACAATCTCCACAGCTAGAAATCAATTCCGTTCGCGGGCGCATGTTCGAATCATGCAGCCGTCGTGCTTTATCTTTTTTTGCATGGCTATGACTGTTATCTATTCTGAACATGGCCAACATTTGTCTTGGTTTGCCCGAACTAGAACTTTGCTTATACAAATCCGTCTCCATGAAATTAATCGTTAACGCCTCCGAAAAATCTGTATAGGAAAGTCAGTACCACAGATCCACAATGATGCCTAGAACTACCATCCTCGCTCACTGCATCGTCCACCGTAACGTAACCTCAGCGTCGGTCGTATCCTCCACAACCCATCTGACCCTCTTCACCCTGAGGCTGACTTAAGAAACCACGTTGAAATTGCTGGCATCATTGAATATGCGAGAGTTATGAAAGACCGTAGACGCCAAGTAAGTATTGCATTATATCAGGATTCATATCCGGCATACCTTACATACTGGCCACATAGGTAGTGTAGTACTGGCCAGTGCTAGTCAGAGTAGTGGGGCCTATTGTAGCAAGGATTGAATCAAATAGGCATATTTAATATCTGTAGGGTATGTAGGCCTCCACTACATACCATATCAACTCGTTTGCTGCGTTTGTAGTCTTTGGCCACCCATTAGAGATGTGATTTACTGTTATTTTTCTCCTCTCTTCACCTTGGTTGCTTTCTCTCTTTGCCCCGCCACCTCTCCACTTCTTCTTCTTTCTAGATTCTTCCTGGTTCACAAATTAGCCCTGCGGTTGCTTTATTCCCCTGGACATCTTCTGATTCGCTATCGGATTGTTCACATCTCGTTCCCCGACAAGTATCCTGCTTCATTTCAGCATGGGATCCTTTCTTCTAATTGACTGTATGCTTTGTAGTAGGTGTAGTTTCAGTGGCCACTTCGCTGAAGCCTGTCATAATTATTGCAGGTGGTGCCATTGATTTATGAAGCTCAACCATTTTCTCTCTGCAAATATGCACCAACCTGCTCTCAGTATAGAGAGAAGGTCCACCTCAAGCGTAGCTGCCCGCCGAAAAAGTGGAAATATGAGGAGAAGCCCAAATCAGAATCTATAAACCTGGAGACTTGCTTTAAATGTGGCAGAAGGGTCATATAAAGTATGATGGTCTGCAGGCTGATCCAAACTGCTTTACTTATGGTCAGATCAGTTATTTTAAGAGTAACTGCCCTCGGAAAAACCCCAAGCTTCCAGGCGACTCCCAATACCCCTTTTGAGATCTAAGAGAATTGACCCACCGAAACCAGAGCTAGTAAAGATCAAACCGAATTTGAGGATATAGCTTGAAAGCCTAGGGTTTAAGGAGGAGGATGATGATGATGTACGCCTTCTTGCAGACCTCGGGAGTGCACAGCTAGATCGCTGAGGCTTGGTTTTCTCGTTCTCTTGAAAACCTTACGAAGAGATCCGAGGGGGAAAAGACCTAGAAAGGATCCATGGTCAAAGATAGTGCGAAGGGGTATGATCACTCGGCGATGGAAAAGGTCTGCCTACTGCTAAGAGATATCTAGGAAAAGCTTACCTCGGTGCCAGAGACTAAAGGTGGTAAAGTTATGAAGTACACAGGCACCTTAGTATTACTGGAAGACACAATCCTAGTTGATGAAGATCTCATAATGGAAGCGGTTAAGCAGGGGGGTGCAACAGTGACAAAGTCTGACTCAACAGGAGGAGAGACTAATGGCCAATCGACTACAAAAAGAGACACCTCAAACAACAGAGGTAAATTGAATGGCCTATTGAAAATGTCCCAAACCTCTCTCTCATGGGTTGCCATTTAAAGGGATATGAATCCAAAAAAAGGGGAAGCCAGCACTTGCGCGCGAACAGCATCCTCACGTCTATGCCACCACAGCCTCAGAAAGCGACTCAGGGATACTGTTTATGCCGAGGCTGTGCAAAAAGATACAGCACGACGGCTGCATGATTCGAACATGCGCCCGCGAACGGAATTGATTTCTAGCTGTGGAGATTGTTAGTGGATGTTTGGTGGACACAAATGTTGAAGAGAGACATACTCAATCGCCTTAGACCACTCGGCCAAACCGCCGCTTAGTAATCTAATAATAAAAGAAATGATACATCAACGAGCGTACACCGATGTATAACAGGCAAGGGGCGGTTTGTTGTAGTATTGTGCCTGGATATTTCTCAAGATGCCTGAATTAAAGCTGGCAGAAAATATGAGTACCCAAATTACTACCCTTGACCTGGACCAGGACCTCGGAAATTCTTCAATTCCTCCAATGTTGACAAGATCAACACCTTAAAAATGGGCGGCAAATGTGACGCTATTCGCACCTATGCAAACCGTGGTATTCCCTCATTATTCCTACATAGGCATTGAAACCTTCCCACTCCGCGATCGTCTCTCTCGCCCACCACTCTTAACCGTTGAGAAATTACTCATTTGGGCGATGGAAGGGCTTCAATGCTAGTGAATATCAAATTTTCAAATTTGAGGCTTTGTATGGTGCGAATAGCTTCCAAGGTTCAATATGGGAGCTTCATTTACACAGTACTGTATAAAGCGGTATTAGAAGGCGGTATAAAACCAGACATCTTCAGGCAATAATACCAAAAGAAAATGCATACGATCCCCGGCCGCTATACACCTACGTTGTCATGTCGGGAGGGTCGCAGGACTCGACATGGATCTATACATGCCTTCGGAGCTTGTACTGAGAATCACAGTCACGTGACCTCGCTTAACCCTCACACAATTATACGAGTGGAACTCGGGGCAAATTAGAAGCTCAGAGTTTAGTTCGAATACAAACAGCACTGGTTGCCATACCTTCGTAGCAGGATTTGTATGACGTATTAAGACCCTTGTCGATCAATTTAATTGAGACCCTACATAGTGGGGTCTTAAATGCGCACACCTGCATAGTGGGCGGATTTAACTTTCTAACGGAATTTATTTCAATCTACCTACGCTCCGTAGTATAAATAGACATCCAGAGACATATTTAGTCAAAACTATATTTCCATTTTGCAGGAAGGCTATGCAAAAAAGATACAGCACGACGGCTGCATGATTCGAACATGCGCCCGCGAACGGAATTGATTTCTAGCTGTGGAGATTGTTAGTGGATGTTTGGTGGACAAATATATTGAAGAGAAACGTACTCAATCGCCTTAGACCACTCGGCCAAACCGCCGTTTGTTTGATAAGCTAAAAAATCATACGTTAATAAGCCAATTCAACTTTCAAACGTAGCAACTAGGGAATATCATCTCGATCTAGGCTTGATCTCCTACGAACACTACTAGGCAGTGCGGTTATCGGTCCAGCAATTGGGCGAACTCTGGGAGCTATCCTGACATAGTACCTGGGATAGAGAAGTATCTTCTGGTTTCTTGCCATGACTGCAGGGGTGATCGTTATAACTATGCCTCTATTCCTACGTGAGACCTACCGCGCAGTAGTGGGAAATGGGTGTCTGACTCCTCAGTCATGGAATTAATGCGCACTTCAAATAGTCCGGCCAGGAATGCACAAGCCAGACCCGGACATCCAAACTGCCTTCACACGACGTCCAGGGATTGTCCAATGCCTCAAAATCAGTCTTCTGTTATAATAATAGTTAGGTCATTTGAGGATCAAATGGGATATTTAGAGTGGAATGTATTGCCCCCACAGTACTTACTATCTTAAATGTCAAGAAAAGCACCCAAGCTCAAGAAATCCCCAGAGACTGGATATGTGAATATTCCAATTAGTTCACATCAATGTCTTGGCTGTAACGATGTCTAAATAATAGTTTGTCCTCTAGTCAATAGCGAATCCGATGCATCGTGTTCGAAACGAAGTCTTTCATACCAGCATGTACTGCACGCCATGCTTCCGCAAGACGTTCATCCTTCCACTCAAATGCCAATCCGCCTGGGACTGAGGCTTCGTGAATATTCCAAATTATCCGAGACGCTCGGTTGTCGGGGTAGATTTCGAAGCGAATCTTATAGTATGAAGGATCTGTGATATCATACCTCCCATTCTTCCTGACTTCATCAAAGCTCATACTCCACTCAAAGACGTGGTCATGGTAGTGCCGGAGTGGGTAGGGCTTTGACTTTAGACCTCGGAAGGAAATCATAAGGTCGCTTTCTGACTCCGGGCTGAGGGTGATTTCTAGCCTGTACTTATAGTCCTTATTGTCATACTTGCCGACGTAGCATGTAAGGGGCAGTGGCGGTGCTCCTTGAATTCGCTCCTCGGCCAACCTATTATGTAGTGTAGCAAATCGTTCAAGTGTTTTTCTTTTAGCTTCTTCTGTGAGTTTCACATAATCGGTGGGGCTGGCGACGTCGAAGAGGCCCTCGATCAGGAGTCGGGCAATCCAGTCAGCAGCATCGCTCACCGCAGTGGTGTTCATGAGGACTACCACAGCTGACTGTGTCTCAGGGAAGATAGCAATGAATGAAGAGTATCCCGGCCCTCCGCCTTGGTGGTAAACCATGAGCCTAGACTGGTTTCCAACCCCGAATACAGGTTGCTCAGACATATCCCAAAGTCTTGAGTTTCCACCGAGCAGGCCCACGACTCCAGGAAGCTGTGCTCTCGCCCAGCCAAATCCGTACGATCGTTCCAACAACGATGGATTCTTCATTGCGATATGGTTGCTAATTATGTGTGGAATCTGTTTCAAGACTGTGTTGTTGGGTGCCGTGGTATTCTGGCTCGCAGCCAATGTTTCCCTGGTCCATATGAGAAGATCACTCACGGTCGAATAAGCTCCGCGTGAACCTTCGAATAACGTATTCGCAAAATTGGGTTGAAATTCTAATGGGCAAGCCTTCCCGTTGCTAAGTGAAGCATGTGGTTCAGCGACGTTGTTGCTCCCTTTAAACGAGGGTCGCAAAGTGGTAGAGGTCATCCCAAGTGGCCGGAATACCTCATCCTGGAGATATTCGTGAAGTGGCTGCCCAGATATATGCTCGATTATGTGCGCAGCAATCGTGTATCCCCACGGATCCATCAACCAGCTCTCACGGTGCGGGAGTGGGTGAGGAATGCGGTCGATATTTTTCAAGAACTCTTCGAGACATGGTTGTGTGTTGCTATTTCCACCGTCGGCTAGTAATGTTGCAATTTCTCCATCCAACCCGCAGCGATGCGCTAGAATATCAGCTATTGTGGCTGTGTGGGTCCAGTAGACACCAGTATGATCAATCTCGAGTATTATTTCTCTCAAGAGTGTTGTCCACTGAAGCTTTCCATCTTCCACAAGTTTCCCAACACCAGCAGCTACCATTGACATTGTGATATGTCCGATGCTATATTGGTTGTTTACTTCTGGATGTGCTGTTTTGGATTCGTCGCGGAAACCGAAGCTTTCGGTCCACAAAGTTTCTCCATGGTCAAGAACTCCAATAGAAACGCCTGGGACGCCTTCTATTTCGCAAATATGTTCGATCGAGCGGCTCAGTTTCTGCAGTCGCTCAATGGTCGGCGGAGTGACCCTATATAGTGTCAGCGAGTGTATCATGCAGGGAGAGAAAGCTGAGAGCCACAATATGAACTCAACAAACGTGCAACACGTGCATTTTTTTTATAAACGTATTTCTGATGAGAGATCTCTTGGGAGTGAGAGAAGTCAAGTTCGAAGGAGGAGTTCTAGGCAGCCTCTGATGTCATGCCATGACCCCGCGCTACAAAGTACATTCTTTATTGGTTACGAGGCAATATTTTGAATCCTTATATACTACATGTACTTAGTCTAACCCATCCTAATTCTAATAAACACTGAAACGTACAGCAGTAGTTCGTTATTCTCCTTTCTACTCTTTTTCCCTACCTAATGGAGACTTTACCCTGATCACTACATACTGTGAATGCTATCACCTAGTTAACCAGTGGGGCTCAAAACGTACAAGTATGATATGACCTAGATCTATTGCAAGGATACAAGTTATTGTGACCTGCTACAATGAAGTATCATCCGTCAATCCATACCCCTTATAGAATTTCTTCTTGATGAATTCCAACACAGTCTCATCGCTCGTGTCGTTCGGATCCAAGGGATTCTTTGCATCCAAGTCTCCGTGCCAGAATGCTGGCACAGCATACCTCTCGCCACCAGTCTTGTTAATGACTCTGTGCAGTGTACTCTTGTATTTCCCACCGGTCCATCTCTGGACCATGTCACCTAAATTAATGACAAATTTATCTTCCAGAGCAGGAAGCTCTACCCATTGCTGGGTGGCCTCGTGCCACACCTCAAGGCCATCTTGACCGGGGTCTTGTAGCAGGATAGTAATGCCGCCATAATCCGTGTGTTGGCCAGAACCGAACTTGCGAGTATCTGTCCATGTGTGTGCCGGGTAGCGAAGTAGCTTCAGAAACCTGTAACATGTGAGATACAAACAATGTGGTGGAGAAATAGGCATTGTCTTACATTGCAGCGTCTGTGGTAAAGTCCTTCAAAATGGATGGCGGGTGTCCCAGGCTGACAGCAAGAAGCTCCATCACTTTGAACCCGACCTTGCGTGCATGTTCATAATACTCCATTACCGGCCGGTGGAAATCGTTCTCTGCGAGATCGGGCGGCCACACGTTCGGTCCCTTGCCAAAGTCCACCTGGTCCAGGGGGAGTTCCTTTCCCACAAAGAAACCCTATGCATCGTTAGCTGATTTTTCAACCGAATCCAGCATCAATGAAATTGACCTCTTTAGCATCGCGCTCAAAGTCACCATGGTGTGGGTCGTTGGCTTGCTGCTCGCCCGGTCCCTCATAGCCTCGTCGCCATGAGTATTTATACAGAGAAATCCGCCTCTTTTTCTCTAACGGGAGGTCAAAGAGCGCCTTGCAGGCTGCGAACATTCGCCGCTGGCTCTCTACCGGCACACCATGGCCTTCAACTTGAAAGAATCCATGTTCCAGACATGCTTTCCGCACTTGCTCAATGACCTTCGCTCGCTTTTCTTCCGAGTAGGCATCGAAGTAGTCCCGCAGATCGATTGTGGGGATATACTTATCCTCGTTCTTGACGACGGCCGCATCGACAGACATGATTGCTTATGTGACGTGCTTTTGATGTGTTTTGGGGCAGATAAAACTCAACTTCAGCGTCGATTATCGTTCTTTCTCTGTTAGTAGCCTGTCAAATATATAACCATGGTTATCACTTAAATCTAATATGGAGATATATATTTCCGTTATGAGTATTGCATGATTTGCCTCTAGACCCCAAAAGCCGCGAGTAAGCACAAAAGAGAACCATTCGCTCATCCTGTCCGCCTTGAAGGCCAGAACCAAGTTGATTCGTCCCGGTTGGTAGAAGTTTGGTGTCGGCTGTTTCAAGAAAGGGTGCCGAGGCAACCGAAGATGGCTGCACTGAGGGGCAGTGAATTCGGTCACTTTTCTCTATCCCTGTCAATCGCAGGTGGGCTTCGAATTAACCAAATATAGGAACGGAATTTGTTGACCGAGCAATTCGGTGGTTACATTGTGCCGATTATCCTAGTGTCTTCATGAAGCTACCGGTGATCGTCAATACCTCGATAGATGATCGGACGGGGTCCGTGAATTGATTTGGCTATAGCATAATTCTGCACCGCAAGAGCTAGAATATCAGGCGTGGCGATTTATTAGTTATGAGATGTAGCGAGCAAAAAACATGGATACTCAGGTGGTATAATTATTTATCACGGTCATTCCTCTGACCCAAATTGGACCTCACAGTGCATGTAGTGATGTAGTATTTTCATCAACCAGCCAAGTGGTCGAGCAGTAACTCAACCATCTTATCTTCCTTGGTCTAGTGGTGATGATTTCCGCTTGTCATTAAAACCGATAAGCGCGGGAGACCGGGGTTCGATTCCCCGAGGGAGAGATTTCTTTTTTTTGCTTGGGTTTTTTTTCGTATAGGTGGGGCTGGCCGTCGATTAAACAAGCATTTATGTGCTAGTGGCTTTAGTGGCTTTCTACGGATACCCTAGTCCGCGGTCGGGAGGTTGGAGACATTCAGGTAGGTAAGGCCCTACAGCTCCAGTGCCTATACAACAACAGAACAAGACGGGTTATGGCATAGCTGTCGCTTGAGAGCAATCAATTGTCTTACGTCAAGTGTAGTACACCAAACTCTGCCAGCTCAATCGGACCATGGATGGGAAATTAACATTTTCAAAGCTCAAACGACCAAGCATAATGTATGATAATGACAAGAACGTCGGTAAATAAAGACTCATACTGGGTACACTAGCTTCTGCCCAGACATGGCCTGGGTACGAATTGTATCCACGCCCTCCTTTACGCCATCCCACCCCCGTTCATAACCTTGATTGGGTGTGTATCAAATTTACCCTGGTCCAGCAACGCCTGCACACTTACCGTCAACTCCACCGCAAATTTATGATCATCTGGTCGTGCATCCCGAGAGTACTCTCCATCAATATCCACCTTGCGTCCGAACACGGTCAATGCTAGAAGCCACGACGGCTCAATGGTAAGGGGCCTCGTCTCCGCGATAGCACTGCGGAACGGCTCGAGAGTAACGTAGCGACCACCAGCACGGCCCATGGCATTATAACAGAGCTGCGTCGTGTCAGCCATGGCCACGCAGTCCAACGCATACGCCAGCGTCCCGCCAGTGTACCGGCGTATCTCAGCCGCGCATTCAGGGTCACTATAGTCAAAGGCGTGCTCGGCACCGAAGCGGTGGACCAGATCCATATTTGCCTTGGAGCAGGTAGCGATAGGACGAAGACCAGCACTGGGGTAGAAGAAAACGGTCCTCAGTTAGCATATGCGGCGAGAACAATCAACCCAGAGTGAGAGAATTGGACATACAGCCTTAGTAGCTGGATGGCACGTGTGCCCGTAGCGGTGCTGCCACCGGCAACCAAGACGAAGCGCTCGTCCTCCGCGATCTCCAAGCCATCAGGGTCACTGAGCGATCCTGGCACCTTCAACTCGTGGAAAAGGCCCAGCCCAGCAGTGAAAAGTCCTAGACCAATGGAGGCAGCATCGTTGAACGACATTTCGTCCGGTATCCGAAGAATCAGGTCTGCGGGCGACGCCACGTACTCAGCGAAAGCACCCACGTTCGGTTCAACAGCGTTCATGCCATGAACCCAGCCCGCAACGCGATCCCCGATCCGTAGATGTGCGGGCGTATTCGGCCCCATTGAAACGATGGTTCCTGCAAAATCATAGCCGTGGACTGCCCCTGGCACGGGGCTATAATCGAGCATTTTTGCATCGACTGGGTTGATGGCAACGGCAGCTGTCTTCACGATGGCCACCATGGGCCCCGGGGATGGTACCGTGACATTGTGTTGAATGCGTAGCTTGCCAGCTGCCTCGGCCACGATGGCCGTTTGCTGACGAGGTAAAATGGGAGTCGCTGAGGGCATTTTTGGATATTGAGACCGGGCTTCAGGGAAATTCTGGGATGGGCTTGTACAACCGTCTCGTATAATTTGGTTGTTTGGAGTCTCTCATTTTTTCTAACCAGGTTGGCTACTTACTTACATACAGGTTGGTGAGATTGTGCTGGTGTAGCACCCGACGATGGTAGTATGCTCTCAATCTGAGGTGACTAACACTTTACACCGACCCGGGGGACATAATCGGTCGATCCTCTGTGTTCAAAAGTGACCGAATCGGTAGACCTTCCCGCCCGATATGCGACACGCAGTCAGTTGCCGACTACCCGTGGACCATATTTTCTGTATCCAATTGGATGGATCGGTGGCGTCCAAACATATCTTGCGGACGCCTATAACACCGAGGCCGAGCAGCCTGCATGATGAAGAGACCGAGAGAGCGACACAGGCTAGACAATTAAGGCAGTTCTCCTTTGTGGGCAATAGTTATTTGTTCTTTTTTAGACTGGTTAGTAATCTCTAATCCTTGCAATGTTATTCATTCTCGGAATTAACGGCACGCGAAGGAGTCCAAACTCCGAAATACCCTGCATGAAGCAATGGCTGATCCCTGAAGCTTATGCCGTTTATCCTTTACTCGTTCTTCGCGATATAGACAAAGCTTGGCAACATCATCCCCCGATGAAGTTTGTGTCACTTTTCTTTCTGGTTTTCGTTTCGTCTTTTCTCCTTGGATCAACTATTAATAGTGCATTGTATATATTCCACGGGCGTCATTACAACTGAGGTCTTAGTTTGCAAAATCGACGATTGCTATGACCTCCGGCACTGAGCAAGCTACATTGAACACGGAGGAGAATGGCTCTGACTCGGATCATCTTTCAAAGGAACCGATTGCGATGCCTGCACTGGACTGGGATGGGCCCACCGATTCAGTAAGACCGCCAACACCAAGGTGATCGAACAATCCCGCTCACCTTTGCTCACAGAACAACCCGCGCAACTTCTCTACGCCCAAGAAAGTGTTCATTACTGCCTGCCTGGCCTCACTAGTATGCATATCTACTTTCGGCTCGTCTGTGATGAGTCCTGCTAGTGGCCAGCTCATCCATGAGTTTGGTATATCCAAAGAGCTATCGATTTTAGCAACAGCTCTGTACGTTCTAGGCTTTGCAGTCGGGCCCTTACTATTCGGCCCAGCTTCGGAGGTTCTGGGCCGAAAATATCCACTAAGCGTCGGCGTCTTCCTCTTCGCCATTTTCAGCATTCCAATCGCCGTCGCTAAGAATGTCGCCACCATATTCGTCTGTCGGTTCCTCTGCGGGACCTTCGCGGCTGCCCCGCTGGCTATTGTTCGTCCCCACCCCCACTTGCTGTCCATTCCTGCGGGATATACTGACCCGAAGCCTTAGGCTGGAGGCGGTCTTGCCGATCTCTGGGAACCCCTTTCACGGGGTATTGCTGTGGCTGGATTTGCCAGTGCTACATTTTTGGGACCCGTGCTAGGTCCTCTTGGTAAGTAGACTGGCGAGGCCTTGGTTCAACGAATCAGCACTGACACCGATCCAGTGGGTGGCTTTGTCACTAAGTCACATCTGGGATGGCGGTGGACACAATGGCTGTCTATCATTTTCTCTCTCGTATTTCTTGCCATCTATTTCGTCTTCTGTCCTGAAACATACAGCCCCATCGTCCTCGCTCGATTGGCAAAAAAGAGAGGACAAATGCCCCCCGGGGGGCAAGGTCGACTTTAAGCAGCTCGCAAAAGTATACATGCTAAGGCCGTTCATTATGCTCGTACAAGAGCCTATCTTAGCGCTGTTGACGCTGTACATGGGATTCATTTACGGTTTCTTGTATCTCTGCTTCGAGGCATTCCCTATCGCCTTTGAGGAACACCGTGGTTGGAATATCGGTATCGGGTCTCTCCCCTTTCTCTCGATTACAGTTGGTGTCCTCATAGGCGTTGTCATTATTATCGTCCATACTATGACCCGTATGCGGAGGAAGTTAGAGACAGTGGGTGATGCACCAGAAGAGCGCCTTGTGCCCATGATGATTGGCAGTATTCTGATGCCTGCGGGAATATTTTGGTTTGCCTGTGAGTTACTCACCCCTGCGAAATAGAGGGAAAATGTAATAGACTGACATTTCTGGCAGGGACTTCTAATACCTCTCTACCCTGGGCCCCGCAGGTGGTATCAGGCGTATTTATCGGTTGCGGGATTCTCTTGATCTTCTTACAGGTGGGAAATTCACTCTTTGGGCTCGATTGCAAATAAGAGAATACGTTGATTAATGACTAAATAGGGCATGAACTATATCATCGACGTCTACAAGGTAATGGCCAACTCGGCAATTTCAATCAATGCCATGTTCCGGGGTCTCCTAGGTGCTGGTTTCCCTTTATTTGCCTCATACATGGTATGGTAACACCCCAACACCAAGTAATAAAGATATCTGCCTAACCATCTTCTAGTTTGATAACCTTGGTGTACCATGGGCTATGTCCTTGCTGGGATTTCTGTGTGTCGCTCTAGTGCCCGTCCCATTTTTATTTTTCATTTACGGTGAGAGAATTCGGAAGTGGAGCAAGTTTACAGCGCATTAGATAGGCATTAATTCAATTATAAAAAGTTTATACGGGCTGAATCTACTATCTTTCCACGACAGCCTTTATCCGGTAATTTGATCTGCCCTTGTTGCATAATTGGATTGCTTGAAGCTTGGCATGTAGAAAAAAGTACTGAATCCAATTGGATTCAGTACTAAATTGCCTAGTTTGATGAGACATCGAAGGCCATAACCTAGACCAGCAGACCCCAAAGGCTGAGCGAGAGACTCGGGTAGAGGTAGAGATTTTAGCTTTTAGTATCACCCACCGGTTAACATTGTAAGTAAAATCCATGGATCTACAAAGACGCATGGAAAAAGTACAACTGAGTCCCGGTTGATTCCCAGGTTTTTATATTCACGTCATTTGCATTCCTAGCTTCGGCTATATACTTCGGTCACATCGGCCCCGAATCCGACCCTCCGCCACGTAGTATGTATTATGTATAAACTCTTCGGACCGCTTTGCTCTCATAATATCTAGCACCTAATCTATTTGCCGAAAACTGCCCAGTCACCTTGTCCCCAAGTGGTCTTGAGAGTCCAGTGCTTAATCTTCCACAATCCGTCTCCAGCATCCTTGACAAGCTCCACCGCATACAGTCCACCGGCAAGCAGGAAGTCAGAGCCGGGCTTCATGCCCTCTCCACCGCGGTAGTGTTGAGAAAGAGCAGAGCATGACACCTGAGCCTTGGATTCTTCGGTGATGTTGACACGCATGTTGGTGAGGAAGTGGTTGGTGTCCATTTTGGCGATGTTGACATAGCATCCGCTGTAGATGGCATCGTAGCCTTCCATGACGGTGCCGTTGAGGACCAAGACGGCATCCTCAGTCAAGGCAGATTTAAAGAGAACCTCGTCAGCTGTGTCAAAGGCGATGACGCCGCGGTAGAGAGCGTCAGCGATGGCATCGCGGTCGCTGAGGGCAGGCGTGAGGGAAACTGGAAGTGCTGGTGCGGCCATGATGGGTTATTTTTTGGATGTCAAATTATGCAGTGGTGCACGGTTGAAAGTTGGCTTGGCGATATGCGGTTGTAAGATTCTAAAATGGCAATGAGAGCAGGATTTAGAGTACTTATTGGAAGGAACTTGAGGTATGCTGTCAAATTGGAACCTACAGTAACATTCGGTATGTTCCAAAGGCTATCTCCGATGGATGGGGTTAACGGAGTTACAGGAGACATCGGCGTAAACAGGGCCCGAGGTGGCAAGGATCTTCGATTGGCTGCGGGGAACCGCGGGACTTTCCCAAGGTTAGCGTAGCGGGTCGGCCCATCAAACGGCCTACCCGTCGACCCATGCCCAGGCAAAGCTTAGCAATGTCTTGGGTTGAAACTTGCCGAATACTATTCCTAATTAGAACGTAGATAGCGGTCGAATCAGGAAAATATTCCGAGCATATCCTATCTGGTACTATTACTACCCGTGAGTCGTTTCACGGTGTAAGTGCTCCAATCACTGACATCATCTCTCACCATCTCCTGCAGCGATCGACGTGGAAAATGTCTCATAGATCTTTCATGTGTAGAAAGTGACACTGTTTTTGGTTTATGTGTAATTCTAGAACTTAAAAGTCAGAAAAGGCAGGTATGGTAGATCCTTTTTTAACTTTTTTTTTTCCCTTGGCGCATTGTTCAAATCAAATCCCAAAAACAATGAAAGTTTTGATTATTTTTGCCCACCCGGAACCCCAATCTCTCAATGGCGCACTCCATAGAGTTGCTGTAGAAGAGCTGGAAGAACAAGGTCACCATGTCCAGGTCTCCGATCTGTACAAGATGAAGTGGAAGTCAGAAGTGGATCGTGAAGACTTTCCGAATTTTCCAAAGGACCAACGGCTCGACCTGTGGTAAGTCAGCGGAATCATAAGCAGTGCATTGTTGGTGGGGATCGTTGGAGGCGGAAAGGTGCTTGAGGACATTGGGGCCAATAATGATTTCGACTTACTTGCTAGTTACGGCTACGCTAACTTGGTGATATTTTGCAGGACCGCGTCAGCTGAAGCATATGCGGAGAATTCCCTGACTCAAGATGTGCTTGATGAGCAAGCCAAGCTGAGATGGGCCGACTTTGTGATATTCCACTTCCCCCTCTGGTGGTTCACAATGCCAGCAATTTTGAAGGGATGGGTGGACAGGGTTTACACCTATGGCTTTGGTCACGGCCTTGGAGAGCATTCTGACAAACGCTGGGGAGACCGATACGGAGAAGGCACATTGACCGGGAAACGCGCTATGCTGATCGTAACTCTTGGCGGCTGGAAGGAACACTACTCGGCCCGCGGCATTAGTGGCCCAATTGAAGACGTTCTATTCCCGATTAACCACGGTATCCTGTTTTACCCCGGCTTCGAAGTTCTACCACCATTTGTCGCCTTCCGAGTCCACAAAACTAGCTTTGATGAAATGGCTAGTACACTCCGAAAAAGAATGCGCGAAATTGAGTTTACGAAACCTATCCCATATCGCAACCAAAATGACGGCGAGTACAGTATCCCAACCTTGACTCTGCATGAGAGTCATGGTGGAGACCTCGCATCTGGATTCGGACTACATACACGCACGGAAGTGGAGACAACCGACGTCAAAGAAGCGTGAATGGGTGAAGTGAGATTTATTAGGGACGTTGCAGCTAGGTGGGTGTGGGGCAATGGAAATACGAATTTGGCTCGGCCGTGGGGGATGGATATGTGGATGTTTGGGTCCATGGGTGGCTAGCTAGGAAACTCTTTGTTCTAGGCAACATAGGGTGCATTATGAATGTAACACCAAGTCCACCAAGGCTCAAGTTTCGCTAGCCTAATTAGTGCAGTGGGTCTACAGAATCCCATAATTGTTTCTCATTTATGCATAGTACTTACTTGGTTGGTTTGTTCGTAATCGCTCTTTATGCAACGGGAATCCTTGTTGATCCCGATGGATCACCGAGGCATAAAAATAGCATTTCAGTTTTGAACGGTGAATACTATGCGAATATTAGAGTGTGAATTTCTTGTACATCACAATCATATTGTATAGGATTCGCGCGACGATAATATATGACCGACCTAGGTGATAAGGGCAGCCCTGGACCTCCCGAGGTCGGGGGTGACCCGAGGATATTTGTAAGCGGAAGGTGTCTCCAGCAAGCAACCTTGGGAGGTCTTCAGTGAGAAATAGAGGAGAGTATTTACAGCTTTGCCCCGCTAACAACCCGAACCTGACCAGGGAAATGGGGTGAGAATCGTGGTCATTGGTTGCTGCCCTGGTGATCCCGGCTCCCGACGTTTGAAGGATCCTAACCCTCGCACTTAATGTCCCAATTACAGTTTGCAGAACTTGTCCCTAGTGGACTGTATTCGTCATATTGATTTTTGCCGAGCAATATTAAGTCAGATTAGTCGCTTGCCTTGTCGATTACCATGTGCATAGGTACTGTTGAATGATTTGAAACCAGCAAGCTTATCACTGTGCATATGTCTGTACTATTCAAGGTTCCCATTGGGCAGAGATTGCATATCGCTGCACATAATCCCTCGAAGCAAAATGTTGGTATATGCACGTGTTTATTATGTTGTAATATTCAAGCCGTGTGAAGGGCTTTTGAGGCAATGCGGCTTATCCGTAGCATCTTCAGGGTCCTTATAGAGTATGGCTGCCACAAACCCCGGGATCTTACTGTTGAATCCATGCTTCCCCTCTTTGTCCCTTGATCAAAGCTGCCGGCGCATTGAAGTTCAATTGGCATTGTCATTCGAACGCCAATCAACCTTCGAAGATGAATTTCTCTGAACAGTTCACTGGAAGATCTGAGCCTGGTAGGAAAGCCAACAGGACCAGCAACAACAATACCAACTCGACAACCAATGTGGCTACGGTTACCACTGATGACTCAAACAGACCTGCTTGCGATCGGTGCAAAGGGCAAAAATTGAGGTGTATCTGGGAGAATGGCTCAAACACTTGCCGCAGGTGCACCCGTGCTCGGGCTGTCTGCCAACAGCCGCGACCTCGTCCTTTTGGTAGACCGCGCTGCTCTACCAAAAGTAAACACCATGTCGCCCAAAATCAAGCAAATACCAAGATATGGGTATCCAGTACCACTCAGCAGCCACAGGAGAATGACGCTGAAATGCCTATGGCGACGTCCGACGATCATGATCCCACTTCCTTTCTTTCTTCTACCGCTGTTGATCTGCCTCGGTATCTGGGATTGGCTTCATTCCCCACGGACCCCAGCTTGCAGATAGCCATCTCCCCGCCACATGGCGTGCACGGCAATTCTTTCAATTTGTACATTTGAAAATCCCCCTTTCGTCATTTCCTTGGCAATAAATATACTAAATTTATCTTATTTCTAGGGAGACAGGTCTGCTTGGGAATTTTTCTGATGCGCAATTCAAGAATCCTGCCACATTTTATCAGCCCCAAGGTTTCATAAATGCGGCTAATCCAGCTACACCCGCGCCTGTGCCCGTGCCTGCATCCGCACCTGTATCTGCAGACGGCGCCTCTTTATTTGAATTCGACCCTGATGATATATCAGGAGATTCAGAGCACAGCCACTGCCATTGGCTGAAGCAGCTTGGAGATCTCAATGTTGCCATATACCAACATCCCTTACACCCCAAGCCCGCTGGCGTGAGTACGCCTGGAGTTTCCACTGGCTTCTCCGCCGAACAAGTTAGCTTGTCTAGCCTTCAGATCGGCCGACTTCTGCATATGACATCCCGGCTCGGAAGACTGACTGAGGAAATTGACTCGGCAGATCATGTACAACCCAAGAATGATGGGTCGGCTGAGTCTGATTCCTTTGGGGGAATCAAGCTGGCCATAAATGATCGGTCGACTTTGTTCGTGGTCTTAAGTTGTTATGTGAGACTAGAAGAAACTTTTGCTCAAGCGTTAGCTACGGTAGTTGAAATCAGGAGGCGTGGGCCTTTGTCAGATGACACCTATCAGCTTATGCCGAGGCTCACTGTAGATGGTTGGTCCTTGGAATGTTGTCAAACGATGCAGATTGACTTTGTGATCTACATATGTGAGCAGACTTTAGTTCGGATTAGGCGGAGCATTACATCACTCCATGCCGATATGTAAGTAATAGAATTGGGATATATCGAGGTTGATAGGATGGCAATTTTGTTGGTCTCTGCTACCAAAGGATGTATACCGGGGTAAAGGCTTGGATAGAATAGACAAGGGGAGGCCCATTAAATTAAATGTTATACATAGAGGATTCTGTTGCGCAAAGTATTATTTTTTTGACAGTCTTCGTATAAACTGAAAAAGACACATAAAAAGAGCATCCAAAAGAGCATGACAACGCCGCATAAGCGGTCGACTACCTAGATATTCTTGTGATGATTTAATTCAAAGGCTTGCAGCACTATTTTACAATCTGACTGGAAATTCTGTGATTTTGATATCAACATGAGCTTTGAGTGCATAAATTATATTAATGATTGTTATCAGTCAGAATTGAAATAATTGTGTAAATCTTAGATCAAATAAGAGGGGGAACCGCACTGGTACTTTACGCGTACATGAGATCTTTCAAGTTCGTATTATAGCTCATAACTATTTACAATATCAAAATGGTCGTGAAGTTACACTCATTTTTAATCTCATCTGATGACTTTCTTCAGTTTCACAGCCAGCTCAGGCTTCACCCAGAGCCTCATCACTTTGCATCGACTCAACCAGTCTTGACTTCTTTCCTCAAGTTCAAGATCAAAAGACCAGACCATTTTGGCCAGAATGATCCGCAATTCTGCATGTGCCAGATTCCTCCCCAAACAACCTCGCGGTCCATAGCTAAAGGGCTGAGCGGCACTTCTCTTATCATCAGCGTACTCTTTCTCGCCTAGCCTATAGTTATTGAAGCATGTTGTTAGCAGCTGTCAGCAAATATTATTATACGGGGAACATGCCATCTTTCAGGTACGAAGGCGTCCGGGTCCTTGAAATTCCTGCTCGAATGATACGCCGCATACTGGCTCACGGATACTATACAACCCTCGGGTAAGAAGTGGCCGGAAATAAACTCCCCACCACGGTTTACCACCCTTCCAAAACCAACGGGAGCTGGCGGGAAGTATCTGAGTGCTTCCAACAACACCGCATGTAGATATGTCATAGTGTTGAGAGTAGGGAGTTGAATTTCTTCATACGACGCGAATTTCTCACGAATTTCCTGTTTCAGTTTCTCCATGACTCTAGGATTCTTGAGCAAAAGAAAGGTAACAGCACTGAGTAGTGTTGCGGTAGTCTCTGAACCAGCGTTAAGGAGTAGGAACGCATTGGAGTTGATCTCTTCGTCTGTTAGTTTCGATCCTTTGTTTCCGTTATTGGCCAGAATCAATGTCATAAAGTCAGGCCGTGTTGTCTCTCTTTCCCTTCGCTTCTGAACTTGAGTAGAAACCCAGGACTATAGAAGTTAGTGCTGCTCATGACACAGATGACGACGAGGAGATGACAGCGTACTAAATGATCCTTTCTCTTCTGAACTTGTCTCTGATCAAGGAAAAGATTGCCAAAGTATTTCAGCCACGGAAAATGAGCAAGAACATATAGGATCCTGAGGGACTTGAAGGACTCCAGCAGAACGGCCACATATTTGTGAGTAGATAAATCCTGTAAGCACCCAAATGGCTCACCTGGAAATATTGGAATTAGATCGGATGATCAAAACAATCAGTTTTGGGGAAAAAACAGCGCACCAAACATCAAATCAGCAATGATATCGAACGTCGTCCTAGGCCATGTTAGATTGCAATGTTTGTATTTTGGCACGGGTAGGCTTATATTACCAGTTATACCACGACACCATGTCGACCACACCTTCCCCTTCCTTTTCGGCCGTGGCTCCCTTCAGCCCATTTATGAGTTGGTCGACATAAGTTTGTACCAAAGGTTCTTGAGCGGCCACTGCCCTCTCGCTGAATGCATGAGAAAGCACTCGGCGGCCTATTCCCTCGATGATTTAATAAGAAAAGCTGTACCGGCTTGGGGCATGGATCATAGGATTACATACCTCTTGCGTGATCTTCATCGTTTGCCTGCAGAAGAGACGGAGATCCATTACTCGGCTTGACATACCACACTGGGTCCTGGTAGTAAGGTCAGTTAGCAGAGTCATATAATATGTGAGCCATGCGTACTTACCTTCTCCATATTGAGATGTCCCTTGAGCTTGCCGGTGCGGAACCCTGGTTTTGATGAGCAATAGCTAGCTGTTTCATCCTTCAATGCCCACGTACCGTAAATATCTGGAAATGCAGTCTCGCCACTGATAAAAGATACCTCGTTTGGCGAGATTCTCACCACATCACCATACTTCTCGTGTAGTCTCACTGAATTTTCCACAGTCGTGCCGGCAAGCATGTGTCTTGCATACGGTATCATAGAGACACTGTTGATCCAAGGGCCCGGGATGTGGCGCAACCGATTAAAGGAGGCATTATAAACAGTTCTGCATCCGGTGTACGCGATGAACTGAAAATATATGAGCTTGAAATGCTAATATATCTTAGGCGAGAGACTTCGGAATTTGAACACCCACCAACACAATTAGGCCTCCTGTGAGGGAGACTAATTCCACCAGCTTAACTTTAAAATCTTCCATTGTCGTAGAATGTATAGTTCAACCAAAATGGGCCTTTGATGACAGGGATTCTCGTGTTAATACTATATCGAAGAAATGTATTAAGTCGATAATGTAAAATATATTTTTACGATTTTAAGCAGATACCTGAGCCTCTTGTTTTAAAATGGAGTAGATGTTGGATTCAATCTCGTTTACCCTCGTATCTGTAGTTCCTGATCATACTAGTGCGATACGCATTCATTTCTGTATTAATTCGGGTTGATGAGTAGGAAACTCCTAGATTAATGGAGCTGTTGTTGATCCTTCGGCGGCAAAGCGCCGAACCCGCCTGGCACCGAACAATCACGCCAAGCCTTTTCCAATCGAACCCTTCTTCCAATTTCACGTTCAACGCGTCTTTTATCCCCACTGTTTTATGCCAATGAAAACGAATCATGAAGTACAGATACCCCCGCTATGTTATGGAACAAGGAATCTTGAATGAAACCTGCCGCTGTGGGGCTTTCGGAATTCGGTGATTTCTCTAGCTCCCGAGCGGCCTAAGTAGAGAGTCGTAAGCACGATTGACACATGCACGAGATCTGCATCAGCACACCCTGCAGCTTTATCGGAAATCATCATGACCGATGTGACCGAAAGTCCACCGGACGGATAAGCCCCCCCTACCCCACATGTCTCCAGCCGTAATCGTCATATGGTATTTTGCTGAAATTGCGTATGAATATACCAAAACGGTGATTATTCAACATGGCTTGACAGCGCTCTCCACTTACAGAAGGTCCCAAAGATCGACGCTAGATTCGTGGGTCTTGGCATCTTCGACCCAGCTTGCCCAGAAAAAAGCCCGAATACGTTTAGTAATGGCGCAATTGCTAATCTCTCGCTTGGTGATCCCGATTCGGTACATTCTATGCTACGCCTATCGTTCCAGAAGGCGATAGTTGGAGAGAAGAATGGATATGGAAACCCCAAAGTTTCCTTTATCAACCGACAGGTGGTACTTGACCTGAACTTTGTCACGAAACATTGACACAAATCTTCCGGCAGACATCTTTCACCTCGTGCTCCTGGACTATTGTATCATTTCAAGTCATCACTATCTTCAAAGCATTGCTAAAGCAGTAGTGTTACTACAACTAACATGGTTCTACCCCAGCCCGAGCCCATTGCTATTGTAGGTAGCGGCTGTCGGTTTCCAGGCAGCTCAAGTTCCCCTTCATCGTTATGGGACCTCTTGGAGAAGCCGAGGGATGTATCTAAAGAGCCAACCAATGAGAGGTTTGAGCTACGGGGATATTACCACCCCAATGGGGCTCATCACGGAACGATGAATGTGCAGCGCGCATACATGCTCGATGAGGATGTTGGCACATTTGACGCCACATTCTTTAATATTAGCCCTAATGAGGCTGAATCCATCGGTAAGATATCTTTCACATGCACACGGTTCATCACAATACCTTCCCGGTTCTGAACTGCCCCTATCCAAAGCTCTACAAGGTTTTGCTGATGTCTGATGACGAACAGATCCCCAACAGCGGCTGCTGATGGAAGTGGTATACGAGGCTTTGGAAGCAGGTGGCCACCGTCTCGACATTCTCCGTGGCTCAGATACCGCAGTCTATGTTGGTACTATGTCCGTTGACTATAACGACATCATGTTGCGGGATATCAACAGCATACCTACATACTTCTCTACTGGCACTTCCCGGGCTATCCTTGCGAACCGCATTTCTTACTTTTTCGACTGGCACGGCCCGTCAATGACTATTGATACCGCATGCTCCTCGAGTATGGTTGCACTGCATCAGAGTGTGCAGGCACTACGGTCAGGAGAGTCTCGGGTAGCGATCGCTGGTGGTACTGAATTACTCTTAGGACCAGGTTAGTCTTCCCATGCAAGTACACTGCGGTTACTCAAGGAAAGCAAACATGGTTCCAGTGTTGACGATCTGATACAGAGCAATTTGTGGGTGAAAGCAAAATGAATTTGTTGTCGCCAACTGGGCAGTCGCGCATGTGGGATGCTAGTGCGAACGGATACGCGAGGGGTGATGGTATCGCAGCGATTGTGCTCAAGAAACTCAGCGACGCCATTGCTGACGGAGACCACATTGAATGCCTCATTCGTCAGACGGGGATAAATCAAGATGGCAAATCCACTGGCCTAACAGTCCCAAGTTCAGCGGCCCAGGCAGACCTCATTAGATCGACGTACACTAAGGGCGGGCTGGATATTGATAACCCACGAGATTGGCCGCAGTTCTTCGAGGCTCACGGCACGGGTACCAAAGCTGGTGACCCCCGCGAAGCTTCCGCAATCAGCCAATGTTTTGGAAGCCAGCCAATCCATGGAAACCCGCTATATGTTGGATCCATCAAGACTATCATCGGGCATACAGAAGGTACAGCAGGATTGGCCGGTGTTTTCAAGGCTTCTTTAGCCATACAGCATGGTATAATCCCCCCTAACATGCTCCTCCATCAGCTAAATGACGAGGTTGCACAATATTGTGACAATCTCCGCGTCCCCAATGCCCCAACCGCATGGCCTAAGTTGCCAGACGGCGTGCCTCGAAGAGCGAGCGTGAACAGTTTCGGTATGTTCTCTCAAATCTGACGGCCTATAGAAAAGACCCCTAATCTGACCCATATAACTTGTTTAAACAGGCTTTGGGGGCACCAATGGACACGCCATTTTGGAGGAATACCAACCGCCCACAGAGACAAGGAATACCGCGACCACAGGAAGGGATGAAAACAACGCGTCGGTGTTCAGGATCTTCCCGTTTTCCGCAGCCTCTGAAGAGTCCCTAACTGCGAATCTACGCGCTTATGCTACCTCGCTGAAGACTCGGACCACTGTCGATCTGGTTGACCTAGCTTGGACGCTTCAGTCGCGCAGATCGGCTCTGCCCTTCAAAACGTCTCTAACTGCGGGGTGTATAGAAGGTCTGATCACCAAGATTGATAGCACGCTTGAAAAAGCGAAGGCAAACAGTGGACCGAAAGTTGGTACGCGATCAGCTCCCACCAAGCCCAAAGTATTGGGTATCTTTACTGGACAGGGAGCACAGTGGGCGACAATGGCTGCTGGTCTGATCCGAACCTCAGAAACTGTGCGACGGAAGATCGAGCAGCTTGATGGCTCTCTCGCGACGCTGCCCGAAGCCGACCGCCCGACGTGGAGAATCGCAGACCAGCTTTGCGCAGACGCCGAAGATTCCCGCCTCAATGAAGCTGCCCTCTCACAACCCCTTTGTACAGCCATACAAGTAGTATTGATTGACCTACTACGGAGCTCTGGAATCACGTTTGAGGCTGTCGTAGGTCATTCGTCGGGCGAGATTGCAGCCGCATACGCTGCCGACTATATCTCTGCCCACGATGCTATCCGCATTGCCTACTACAGAGGAGTATATGCCAAACACGCCCGTGGTCCCAAGGACCAGAAAGGTGCCATGATGGCAGTTGGAACGACTTGGGAGGACGCAGAAGAGCTCCTCAATTTACCAGCGTTCAGGGGGCGCGTCAAGATTGCTGCTCAGAACTCAGCCGCTAGTCTAACGCTCTCCGGTGACGTTGAGGCTCTCTCACACGCCAAGAGAGTCTTCGACGAGGAAAAGAAATTTACCAGGCTCTTGGTTGTTGATACTGCGTACCACTCCCATCACATGCTGCTGTGCAGTGAGCGCTACATTCAATCTCTCCGGACCTGTGGCATCCAGGTCAACTATAACCGCAACACGTCTTGCACTTGGTACTCCAGCGTTAAGCATGGCGAGCCAATGCACCCTGAACCCTCGCTTGGTGATCTCTACTGGAATGACAACATGGTGAATACGGTTCTCTTCGCTGATGCTGTCAAGGGTGCAGCTAAGGGAAGTCAGCTGAACCTCGCAATCGAAGTTGGGCCCCATCCGGCACTCAAAGGCCCCGCATTACAAACCCTCTCTGACTTCGAGATGTCCCTTCCATACACTGGTGTTTTGAAGCGGAAGGGAAATGATTTGGAGGCGTTCTCGGATGCCCTAGGCTTTGTGTGGACTCATTGTGGACCGGGTGCGGTTGACTTCCAGACCTACGAGGAACTAATATATCCTGCTTGCAAGACTCCCTCACTGGCCATTGGTCTCCCAGCCTATCAATGGGACCACAAGAGAGTATATTGGTACCAGTCACGTTTGGCAAAGAAGACGCAAACTAGGGGAGAGGCTTTCCATGAGTTGCTTGGGGTTCCGTCCCCGAACAACACGGATCGTGATCTTCGATGGTCCAACTTCCTCAAAACTAATGAAATCCCATGGCTGAATGGCCATCAATTGCAGGGTCAGACCGTCTTCCCAGCTGCAGGGTATGTCGCAATGGCATTGGAAGCAGGCTTGAAGCTCGCACAAGGCAGGAGTGTCAAAGTACTCCAAATTGACGACTTGACTATTGACAAGGCTGTAACCTTCGATGATGGCGCGAATTTTGCTGTGGAGACACTTGTTGCCCTTACTGGTGTTACCCAAGGCCAATCTCGCACTAAGAAACAAACAGCCGACTTTGCTGTTTACTCGTGTGCGAACACAGGGTCGTCCACCGAGTTGGGCGTGGTATCGAGAGGAAAGGTGACGGTTATTTATGGAACCCCATCGTTTTCTACGCTTCATTCATCACCACACAATGAAAAAAACATGGTGGATATTCAAGCTGAACAATTCTATTCCTCGCTTCACGAACTCGGCTATGGCTACAATGGCCCTTTCAAAACCTTGTCCTCAACCAAGAGAACCCTCAACCAGGCCTCAGCGAGGGTGGAGACTTACGGCTACGGTGAAGATGAGAACACTCTCATTGTTCACCCTACAATGCTGGATGTGGCATTCCAGGCATCTTTCCTTGCCCGAATGAGCCCAGGAGATGACCAGCTGTGGTCACTACATGTGCCCACTTCCATCAAGTGTATTCGTGTGAACCCGGAGCTTTGCGCCTCAATACCTAGCTCACAAACGAGTCTGTCGCTCTCCGCGGTTCTTCACGAATCCGATTCCCTCTCCATGCTAAGCAGCGTCGATGTCTTCACGGAAGATGGCCAAGAGACTATGATTCAGGTAGAGGGCTTGTCGATGAAGCCTTTCTCTCCCGCGACAGCCGACGATGACCGCTCTATGTTTTCAACAACCGTGTATGGTTCTATGTCCCCTGACCTAGCTATGGATGTGGGTAACGGTCGTCCTCCCTCTGAAGGCCTCGCATTTTCTCAATGCAACGTCGCTCTAGCTTGTGTCGCACAGCAGATTGTGCACCGGTATCCGCATGCAAAGATCCTTGAAATAGGTAAGGCCGACAGGTATATACTATCATATTTATGGGGAAGCAATTAACAATCGATAGGTGCAGGGGAGGGACATGCTACGAGGGCGGTTTTAGAATCAATTGGGAGCAAGCTCTCGTACACTTTCACCGATTCGTCGACAGAGGTTATTGAAAAGGCAGCGGAGTCTTTCAAAGATTTCAAGGAGAAGGTTCTTCTCAAGACATTTGATCCTCTTGGCAAACCATCCTCCCAAGGCCTCGACGAGCATGCTTATGATCTGGTCATTGCATCCAATATCTTGGCAAGCAACTCGGTCTCACACACAGAGTTAGAAAACATTCGACGCCTCTTGAAGCCAGGAGGCTATCTCTTAGCTTCTGGGCTGACTGGTGATGCCCCTACCAGGACTCTGGGAGGAGGAACTGTCGAGGGCAATGACGCCCGTAAGCACGGTCCTATGAACACTGCGCAGTGGCATGGAGCTCTTCGAAAGGCTGGATTCTCGGGCATTGATTCCATAACACCGCAAACCAGCGGGATGGCATCGCCATTTTCTGCCATCGTGACCCAGGCCGTTGATAAAAGAATCAATTTCTTACGGAAGCCACTGTCGACGCCCTCATCTGTCCGATTGGATGAGCTCGTTATTGTTGGCAATCAGTCACTGAAGGCAGCTCAGCTCACCGAAGAAATATACGATCACCTTATCCAGTTCTGTGGCAAGATTA